CGAATTTAACATTAATTTGTTTAGGTGACAGCGTAGATGCGATTTATACTGACCTCAGAAAAGCCTTTGATAATGTAGATCATCATATTTAATTAAGAAATTGACATATCGTGTGGTTAATCGACAAATGAAATCATGGATTTGTCTTATTTAGTTAATAGAAAGCAACAAGTCAAGATTGAAAAGTATACGTCTACCGTCTTAAACGTGCCATCAGGAGTTCCCCAAGGGGCACCTGTCATCTCTTCTATTCATCCTATTTATGAATGACGTAAACTACTGTTTTCAACAAAATAAATACTTACTGTTTAGGAAATAACCCAAAGTTTTAATTGTCATTTGTAACAGATAATGATTCTATAAAAGATAAGTCTGATTTTTTAATTGATGCCAATGAAATTATATATTAATTCTAATAAATTTTCACAAATCACTTTCATTCGCAATAAAAGTTACTCGGTATAAAACTACAAAATAAATAATAAGAATAAAAATAGTTATTAGTGAAAATAATTTTGGTGTATATTAGTCGAATGGTTTGTCTTTTGCAGAACACATACCTTTTATTTGTAATAAAGCATCTAGAAATCTTGGTTTCCCGAAAAGAAATTGCGGAGATTTTAATAACATAGTATATCTAAAAATTTTATACTTTGCCTTAATTTTAAATTAAAATAATAATTTAAATTTGCTTTATATATATTTTTTCTGTTTTAAGATTTTAGTAATATGCTAAACTTATTGTACACCTATACTGAAATATTATTGCTTTAACATTAAATACTCACACCGCCAATAATTAGGTAGTTAATTTATATTTATATCTTTTTCTTCCTCGCCTTAATCCCGACTACTTAGGGTCGACCACCCTTATCCTAAACTTCCACTTGACACGATCTACCTCTCACATCATCTACGCACACATCAGCTGTCCTAATATTGTAGTCAATAGAATCCCTCCTTCTCTTTTTTGGTCTTTCTCTTCCTATTCTTCCTTCCACATCCATTTCTATAACTGTTCTTACAGCTTCCGATTCTTCTCTTCTCATAACATGACCAAACTATCTAAGTCTATTTTCTCTCATCTTATCCACGATTGACGCTACATCTATACTCACTCTTATATGCTCGTTTCTTATCCTATCTTCTCTAGTCACTCCACTTATACATCTAAGCATTCTCATCTCTGCTACACTCAATCTCTGCTCAACTTTCTTATCAACCACCCAACACTCTGAACCACACACCATAGCTGGCCTCACTATAGTCTTATAGAATTTACCTTTCAGCCTCATTGGAATTCTTTTATCGCATAAGACGCCAGACGCTTCTCTCCACTTCAACCACCCACACATAATCCTGTGTCTTACATCCTAGTAAATACCACCACTTTTTTGCCCAACTGACCCTAAATACTTAATACTTTCCACCTCTCCAATCACGTCTCCGCCTATTGTCACTTATCTTCTCATTTCACCTACCTCATGTTCTCCTTTGTCAAACTCGTACACTATATACTCTGACTTATTTCTACTTATTCTTAAACCCTTTTCTTCAAGATCTGATTCCACACCTCTAGCATTTTATTAATTTCCTTCTATTTTCTCCTATTAACACTATATTATCAGCAATCAACATGCACCACGGCACCTGTCCTTGTATTTCTCGAGTAATTTTATCCATCACTATAGAGAATAAGTAAGGGCTTAATACAGAACCTTGATGTACTCCTACTGTTATCAGAATACCTTCTGTTACTCTTTTTACACTTTTTACCCTGGTACAAGTAGCTTGCTTGTGGCAGTGGATAACTGGATAACTGAAGAAATTAGTGTCTGAATGATATCTTAAATGAAATACGCTCATTTAGATTAATCAATTTTGATAAAAAAATATTTATCTATTTATAATTTTTTTATCATATTATTACTTTTAATTTTATTAGTTGACATTTTATTTTACCCATAATCAAACAATATAAATATGTATCTATGTTGTTTCTAAGAATATAAATCTGTAGCGTTTCATACGGTAGTAAATCATCGATTTTTTTTTAAATAAAAGTTAAAACTAATTATAATTACTTGTTATAAGTTAAATTTCTTAATAATATTACTACCCCTTCTTATAAATGTCCTTTTATTTAGAATAGGGAATTCCCCATAATTATTTTTTTTTCTCATAAATTATGTATGTAATGTTTAAACACGTGCATATATATGACGCCACAACGCAAATTGTGTTTAAGTTCCATAGATCAAAATAAATTTTAACGTAATTTTTTTTTAAGTAAATTACATATTTTAAGTCGACTACAATATACACACTTACAATATTACAAACAAGATTACAAAAAAATGGTTGGGTTGGTTTATTTTCAGTAGTATCATAATTTTAAAAGAAAGGAAATACTTTCTTGAGGTGATGACTGTCCAAATTGTTATGAATAACTAAAACACTCAACTGTTTGTGCCAATGTACATCAATAATACCTTTAGAATATTTTTCTCTTAGGGCACTACTATTAATTATTAACAAGCATTTCATTAATTTTTTTTTACACTTATTGTTAAAAATTCAAATATAAATCTTCTTTAAATATAAATTATAAAATATTTGAGTTTTTCTAATTGATATTTATATATTTTATTACTTTATAATAATATTTAATATAGCATATTTTGAATATATAAAATTACTTTTTATTAATAATATTGATAATTGTTATCAACAAGTAAGACTAATTTGTTTTTCTTTACATTTTAAACGATTTTTATTTTAGCTAATATTTTTATTGAAAGTCTATGTTCAACAGTGGATATCACACAATCCATTCTATTCCTATCATTAGTCCTAGTGTCATAAGTATTTTTAAATATTGGATACGTTTTTATATCGCTCATGACTCATATTTTATTTATTATGCAAGATCGCTTAAAAACCTTACAATTGAATTTTATTGAGTCGACAATTTCAGTTAGGGGTAACTCTTTTATTAATACCCATAACACTACCTCTTACTTGTTGTTATTTTCCCCTGACATTCATTAAACCTTATAAAATATGAAGATCATCAATATAATTTAATTTTCCGTTTACTTTTTTTTTATTTCATTTGAAGTTATGTATTTATCGTTATTATAAATTTTTCATTAATATTTGTAGGTTTATTTTTACTTATTACGATTTAATCGTTATTCGGTTATAATCATAAAGGTTCAGTAGAGTTATAAATTGAAAAGTTACATGTAATGTGTATTTTTGAAAATGTTAGCTCAATTGAATCTTATCAATCTTAGGTCATCGAATGTGCTGTCCACATATTTTCATTTAAAAATTATTAATTAGAAGACATTTTTATATACAAAGAGTTTTGTGTAACGATCTTGATATTATTGAAGTTTTAATTGCAAGCAAAATATTGTTAATTACTGACGCTGATGTCTCTGATTGGCGCAACAACTTTTTTATAACTAAAAGGATTTGATGAGAGTTTACTTCGGTTACTGCTACTCTTCGCTAGCGCAGCTAATACGTTTATAGTAACTATGGTTACTAGTTGCGGATCGATAACGCCAGCCTGCCATTCGCTGCCGTTACTTATACCCGTCTCTTTATCTCGCTTGTACCCTCTACTCTTACACTGTTTACTGCCAAATTCACTTTATCGTCTCTTTTTCTTTTTCTCTGAACTCTCTTTTTTTCTTCATCTGACGACCAATCGTTTAATTGCGTATTTGTATATAGACATTAAATACACAATTCACTCCGTTAACAAAAAAAATTATTTTTAAGCCATTTTTGCAAATAGCATAACGTTTTTCATTAAAAGCATTAAAAGATATATTTTTATTATATTTGTGTAAAACTAACCTACCTGTTTTGAATTTTTTCAAAATGTATCACTAGACAATTACAAATTAACTTTAATTATATTTGTATTGTTTAATATAAAGTGTAATAATGATATGAGAGTTAAACTTCAGCAATTGTTTAAATATTGACTGTAACCCATAAAAATAAAATTACTCAATATTAATTAAACATTTATTTATTTATTTATTTATTTTTTTAATGAAAAAAAAACTTGATAATCAGAAAACAAACAAAACAATTCGTAAAAATAAGCTTTTATAAAAACTGTTTTAAAATTTAATCATTTAGTTGCAAAAAGATTTCAAAATATTTTTTTATAATATTGATTTTTTATGACCAAATTAGATTACAATTAGAAAAAACAAAATTTAAAAAAAAATCTTTAGATATACGTTTTTTTTCAACTTGACTTAATTAAATAAAAACTTTTATTATAAGAACATCTTAATCACCTTGTCAAAAAAAGGTAAAAATTACTCATTAAAATTCTCGTTGACTATATAATTTGCTCTTGGCATTCACCGCGTGCCTTATGAAGAATAATTTTACACATAATTGACCAACGGAGAATGCGAGGAGCATAATTGTTTTCCTGTGTGTCTGTATTTACTAGAAATAAATGTAACTTATAAATAAAAATATAATTGCATGGTAGCTTCTTTTAAAGTTGTAAAAGCTAAATGGATTGAAGACGTGAAGTAAAAAAAAATAGATGTTTGAATAATTTGAAATGATGATTTTACAGTAGCGTATTTTGAAAAAAATTTATAAATTTGATTAGAGATTGAAGTAAATATTTCTTTTTTACTTTACCACTCTAAGTTTTTAAAGAGCTAATATTTTAATTTATCATTTTAATTTCATAAATATTTGAAATTATTTTTCTTCTAAAAAAGTTTTTAATTACGTTCCAAGTTAGTAATCGGTAATTTTTGTTTACCTCTCCCCTTTAAAATACATTTCTTTAATTCTATATAAATATCTATGGTGGTTAAAATCCAGTTTTATTAATTAAAATAATAAATTTACATTTAAAGTATAGTATATTAAATATAAATTAAAATACTACATTAAACAAATTTTGTTTAGCATAATTATTTTACATATAAAATTATACTACTTACATAATTATTAAATGTTTTCTTTTAAAGCAAAAATATTTTTCATAAATCACAAATCATAATTACAATTATGATTAAAAATTATGTCTTTGTGAGTAAATGGAGACAACAGTCTTCATAAAACCTGTGAACATATAATAATAATTTTTTTAATAAAAAAAAAAGTAAAATCACTTAAAATGGATATGTATTTTTTCTTAATAAGTCAAAATATAATTTCTATAAGAAATTTATTGATTAATTATCAATAGAACTTTTATTTTAATTTATAACTATAATGATCTCATTCTCAGTTGGAGAATAAATAATTATTTTTAAATTCTTCATCTAATTACAAATGAACTTAATAATTTAACTTAATATTTGAATAATTGTTACCGAAAATTCTCTAAACAAAACTAAATTTAAGTGAACGTGTTGAATCTAAAGATGAACATTAAAATATAATCCCCACAAACTTGATATTAATTTCATTTACGAAAAGATTTTAATAACATCAAATATTAACTTATTCAACTAAGTAACTTATTAGAATTAATCATTCAGCAGTAATTTATGCATCAATACCACAAAGTGATAAAAGAAAAAACACTGTTAATTAAGCTATTTAAATAGTCAACTACTCATTTAACAAAGACTAATTTGAATTTATTAAAAAAAAAATTTCAAAAAGTTACTAGAGTATTAATATGTATAGTATATTTTACTGAACATTGTTCTAATATTTTTTAGCTGACTATATAAATATAAACTTACTAAAAAATACTTATACTTCAATGTACAGGTATTATATAATTGGATAACTTTATGTAGTTTCGTTTGTTTTACTAGTTTATTGATTTCATAAAAACAATTTTTTCTGTCGAATAGTCTTCAAAATACAAACAAATGTATGTATAAGTTATGAGGGAGTTGAAAGGTATAAGGTCCTATTATTTAAATTTTTTTCCGAAATTCCAGAAAATTAGAAATGAGTGCTCAAAAAAAAAAGGTAAATCAATTTAAAAAATAATTAACTGTAACATTAATAAGTAAACTGGGGTTATCGAATTTTTAAAAACGAAAAATATTCGTTTTATTTTTTGGAAAATTAAATTTCAAAGTGCCATGTAATTGTACAGTAAATTTTAATTTTCGAGGATTCTTACTTTCAAAGAATTCACTTATTCACTAGTTCGACGGCTTAAAAGATATATTATAACATGTCGAATATTTTATCAGCAAAAACTGAATTATGAAAAGAAATTGATTTGACTTGTTTTTTTCGTGAATCTTTCATATTTTGTTATTTAAAGATATTTTTTAAGGAGAAGAAAATTGAATCAAAAGTCACACAATATTGTTCAATTTTCTGCAATGAAAACATTGCATTTAAACAAGATTATATTATGTTAAATTAGGAATATTTTAATGAAAAATCACTCAAAATTGTACTTTAAAGAATAATCATATAGATGCGAGTTACTACTTTTTTTATTATTGTATTTTATTTTAAGCAATTAATTAAAAAAGTATAAAAATAATATTATAGTACTTCTTAGCATACTCAAAATAATATAATATCAATCAATTTTTGTATAAATTATCTGGTCTAAATTTGTTTTTGGAAGGTCAAATATTTTACTAATGCTTCATTTAAGTACTATATAATAAATATTTATAATATTTAAAGGTGCTATAAAAATTAATGGTTATTCTATTTTAAAAATATTGTTATATAACAGCAAATTTAATTTTTTTGATTTTCAATGTCTTACTACAGTCACTATATCAACCCATAGTTGCAACACTATTCGTAATTAGTTATTATTATTACCAAGTAATTATCAACTATAACTAATAGAATACAATGATTAAAATTAATTTCGTGTCCAGAACCATTAATATAAATTTTTCGTTTTTAATGTTTTTAAAATTTATAATTAATAATAATACTTTAATGATAACACTTTTTTTATTTTGTCTGGTTTAATGTTATAACTATGAATTATAAATTATGTAGTAATTAAAACAAATTATATTAGGAAACATACACAATTATGTTGACTAATGTTTATTTGGCATATTTTATGCATCATCTGAATATGCTTAGGATTTTCAATTTTTAAACATCCCGTCTATCAGTTAATTGATTTAACATTTCTGCTTTACCCGGACTGATTTTTCTCAACGATATGGCTTAAAAATATCAAATCACATCTAGTTGAAGTTATCAGTATTGATAATTCGGATAAGGGAGTCCACCCTTATTTTTTACAATAATAATACCTCAAAAATGTGTGTAGACATTTTTAAATAAAATATTTAAGTAATTTAAATTTGGAATATTAAATTTAATGTTATCAGATTTTGTTAACACTCGTAAAATATTCTTTGATGATAAATTATTTCTTATACATAAATTGATTTGTTAATAATAAAGTTACTCGCGAAATTTAAATCATAATGAGAATTTATTTATGGCTATTTTAAAATACATTTATTTCTCGTTATATCAATAACTGATAATTTTTTTAATCCATCCCTCAAACCTTATAAGAAGAAATGACTTTATTTTTATGTCAATATACATAGTTTATTTGACCTTGGATACTTCTTAATGTAAACAATAATTGGTAGTCATTTTTTGTAGTTAATGTTATCATTTTTACTGCAATGATAAGAAATAAAAATTTATTTATTTTGTAAAAATGTAGAATTATCCCGAAAGTGTATTATTTAATTATGCTTAATACATCAATATACCTATTATATATTTAATAGGTTTATAAAATTGTGAAAAAAATACTTTTTAATTACTATTAAATTTTAGAAAATGTTTAAATTTAGCAAAAATGGCTGACTGATTTAATCACCTCCCTATATATTATGTGTAAATATTTATTAATAACTATTCATTCTGTTAATTCTAAGATTTTATTTTTTTTATATAATAAAAAGTGTATTTTTAGAAAAAAGTTTTTATTTTTTATTTATAGATTATATTTAATTATTTTCAATTTAAAAAAAAAGATCTAGAAAATTACTGGTTAATAATAACATTTATTCCAGAAAATTATAGTATTTTTAAGTCAAAGTAAAAAGAGAAACGCAGCTATAATTATACAGTCAATATGTTGAATTATTATGAACTACAGAAATACTACTACTAATTTCAAAAAAATATCTTTATAAAAGATAAATGTTTAAGGTAATCTTATAAAAAATTTTCTTTCGGTTCGTTGATTTTTTTGAAATAATTCAATTATACCGCGGAGAAGTTATAAATAATCTAAATTTTGTATTCATATTGTTTGAAATTATGGTAGTGTTAGTTCAATGAGACAATACTGTGATATTTTGACATATCTTTAATATAGATATGTTTACTAGGCTTTAAAAAAAAATGACGACAGACGAAAAAAAATATCTTATTAATATAATAAATCGAATTTTATTGAAGCAAAATGATCTAATAAAGAAAATCGCTGATTGATAACAAATTTCAAACTAATATTATGAAAGTTATTTATTTCAAAAAATATAAACTTTCGGTGAATATGGATTCAAAGAATTTTTATCATTAGGCAATTTTTATAAGAAATGTGAAATAGAACATTAATTCGACATATACACTGCTCTTTTTGGCAAGATTTACAAATGTTCATATTTTCTAAAATAATGGCTGAAAGGTCAAAAAGGATTTACAATTTTCTTTTAATTTTTATCGATATAATAAAAAATTTAATGCTTTTTATATGATAAATAATCTTATAAATTAAAAGTATTAATGTCACTCTCTTATTATTGCTGATTAATACATTACTTAACTAGTTGCAAATCTAAAATGATATTGTAGGAACTTTTTATTATTTTATACTTCTACATGAAATTGTTGACAACATTGATTATTTGCACTTCTTAAAAATAATCTAGCTATAGTTTATGCCTTCATGGTCTATTAATCGCTTTTTTATCACAAACCAAATTTAAGCTTTTTCAACTTATAATCAAAGTACAACGCACTCTGAGAAGACTATTACTTCCACGTATAAGCACACACTAATGAAAATAAAACTTTGAAAATCAATGGATGACAAAATTACTTTTAATAACAAAAAAAATTAACACAATTATTTTATGATGCGTGTTCAAAACTTGAAACAGTCGCTTGTCCTTGATACAAAATTATTAACACAAGCAAGTTATTACTTTAGCTTATCTTACCCATAAATTGACGAAATTTAAAATAGTTGTTTATTCTAAATTTAAATATGGAATAATTTAATATATATACATATATATAAAATATACACATGAAAAGTAGATTCGCACTTTTAGATAGAACTGCTACGTTCAGCACGTGCTCCAGCCGGTCGTCGCGATTGCACTGGGTTGCTGCCGATCTCATCTGCTACTACCCTTGTGTAGTATTGATAGGGACTGCAGCAGCAATGTCAGGGGAGCCTGGTAAACGGTCCTGCAAAAGCTTATAGCAGCCCACAGCATCCCTTCGCCGGCACATGGTTAGTTACTCCACCCCCAGCGTCGGCGTCGAACTGGCTGCCAGCGCACACGCTCTCGCATCACTTCGCCCTCATTTTCCAGGGGTTGATGGATCTTTCCCTTACCTTACCTTCTATAACTCATACTCTTGGTATTTTCCTGTTAGTAAAAAAAAACCCCGAAAATAAATACTTCATTTATTAGTAATGTCTATCAGGTAGTATTTTAGTAATCGGTAATAGTTTAATAATACTGTTCATGCTATATGACCATATCTACGAATATTTGCGTCATTATTTAAATATAGTCTAATTTTAACACATTTTTTTTTATTGATCGACAAAAAGTATTAGTAGAAAACAGTATACTAAGAAATCATAAGTTACAAACATTTATATTTTACATTACTTATAATCAAATTAGACATAATATTTACAATAATAATTAACAATTTATTGAGATAATTTACATTATAGATTTTACAAATTTATATGTTACGTTATAGCAAGTCTTTTACATTTTAAATTTGTTTGGTGTTAGCTCGCTATTTGGTACATGTATTCGATTATTTACCATAAATTATATTAATGGTTAAACTAAATAGATACCCTGAGGATATTCAAAATATTATCAGACGTATATATGGAATAATGTACTTTTTAATTATAAATTGATTACATATGATTTCATTTTATTTTTATGGTCATAAAGTTTCGAAACTTTAACTATTTAGTTGTAAATATTGTATGATTAATATTTTAAATATTCTGATAAGTATAACGTCAATAAAATTTAGATACTATAAACTCAATGATGTTAATAGACTTTTCCTATATATACTATAAAAAAATTTCTCTACACCTTTTAATTAGTTTAAAAACTAAACTAAACCAAACCCCTTATCGTTTTTAACACTTATTATTAAATTTATGGCTTTATATATAGTGTTATAGTTTTTAATTTATACATTGTGAGGATTTAACTTTTAAAACTGCAGTAACGATACCATTACATACTTTAAAAAGTATTTTAAATGTTAAAATTGACAAAAAATGATTTTTATCATAAAAACTGTTTGTGCCTCCTTTGAAAAAATTTTGGACCCACTCCAGTGGTAAAAAAGTTCAAGGAAAAACGTTAACTTTTAATGGAATATTTAGGATAAATTTTTGTGTTAAATTAAATAAGACTCAACTCAGTCACTTTAAAAACTTTCGCTGAATATTTATTCTTAATATTAATAATTACTACCGTTAAAAATGAAAAAAATTCAGTCGGGATTTAGCATAGTAGACATGAGGCATACATATAAATTAGTATTTATTGATATCTGATAGTAATTAAAATTACTATTCTAGTACAATTCGCTGTTCACATAAAACACATTAAAAAAAATTATTATATATACTTAAAAATCGATTATTAGAGAGGACAAGTCATTGGAACGTTTTTCATTTTTTAATCTTATTCAGGTATCACATTAAACAAAATTTAATTTCAAATGACTTAGAATAATTTGAGTATGTAAAAATACTACAAAATCGCTCATTTTTAACAATTACGTGATATTCGGCTTTAATATCTTATAATTTCTAAAAAATAAAATTTCAGAAAGTTTTTATTTTTTCATCTTAAAGTACATTAAATTAGTTTTAATTTAGCATTGGTTTAAAAAAAATCGGGTTTTTGAAAACTTATCAAAAGTAAATTTTTACTTCCTTTATCAATAAACCATACAAGCTGACCTATCTCCCCGAATAACTGTTCTGGTTTATAGAATTTTGTTGTAGAATCTATTTTATATTGACAAAAACTCAAATTCAAATTAAAATGCTTGATTGCTAGGATTGTATGTTTTAGATTAATTTTTTTTTAGGGACACAAAAAGTCATAGTGGGTGCGATGGCACTTTCTGAATCCCTCCGAGAGTCTATGCAATTAATATGAAAGTATAAATGATTATAAAAAAGTCTCCAACAAGTTTTCTTAATAGAACAGTACATTAAATTAAAAAATAAATGTTCATTATTTAATTCTAAAATCTAAATGGCTTAACATATGAGAACTTTAACAGTGATACACATCTTGTTCGTTAATAATTCTCACGGCCATAATGATGTTACGTCAAGTCGACAGCCAGTGTAAAAATTCTGTTAAACCATTCTAAGGTCAATCCTAAATGTCTGCAATAGAGACTAAGAAGATGATGACGATTATAAAATCTGGATACAAAGCCTGCAGTAACTAAGTTTATATTTTTAATGGAATTCTATTTTATATAAAACAAAAAATAAACCTTTTAAATTAATTTCACTCAAAAATTGAAGGAGTCTTATTGAAATTGAAAGATATTAAGCTAAAAAGATATTGTATTTACAATGATATATTTTTCTTTCTTTAGTTTTTGTATGTCCGTATCTCAGATCTCACTGGATCGATTTAGCTTATCAATAGTAAAAATAAATTCAAATTTAATCTAGTTGGAGCAATTTTTTTTTCTTCAATAATTAAAAACCCTCACTCAATTTTAGTTATTAAAAATATATCTCGAAATTAGATAGTGGTCGAGAATAGCAATTTTAATATTATTTTTTTGCATTTTCAAATTATAATAATTTTTATAGAAACGGTCGGATATATATGAAATTTTAATCAATAATATAATAGATAATAATTTTCTTTTAATATGCCACTTAAAAAAGTTTAATTAAAAACGATTTTTTTTTCATTTAGATATTGATGATAGCACTTTTTAAACTTATATAAAATTGAAGCTTATTTTAACTTAAATTTAAGCTAATTTACTTTAAGTAAAAAAAAAAATCTAACGAACTTCTACGAGTAATTTGTCTCCTCAGTTAAAATTTATGAAATGACCATTGAAATTTTTCATTTGTTTTTTAGGCCTTCTCTATTTAGTAGTCATTATATATAAAAAATATATTATATATAATGCCTACTAAATACATGAAACATGAATAAATACATAACATAAACTATACCATAAATATCATATTCTATAACATGGTTCCTTTATTAAGAATTATTATACTTTAGCTACTGAGTTCAAAAAAAATTTCAGTGGTGGTGTATTTTATTGGCAATCCTCGATGAATAAGCAATAGAGTACAAATAACCATGAAACAACTAATTCATAATACGAAAAAAGAGGGGTGATAGTGTTCAGTGGGAATCTGCAACGAGGGAGGGTTTTTTGGGGTTACAATAACAAAAAAAATAAATAAATATAATGTCACAGCGGCAGCACTGGTCGCGAAGCAAAAGGGTGTCGATAACTTCGCTGGGTCCGTAACCAAGGCAACGACGCTCTTGTGCCACCCTCCTCTCTCGCACCATCTGTCATCCCTTTTTGAAAATCACGGATTTCCTGATTACTACCGAGAGTTCTCTTCATTGCACCGCGATTTTATTCGGTTTCCAATGGGCACTGCCGAATGACATCAAATGTCTGAGTACAGCAACATTGTTTTTCATTAACTAATAATAACGAAAACATTTATTTATTAAAACATATAACCATTAAATTTTAAATATTCCATCAGCACCAAACAACTTATACCCAATCTCTCATTATATGTAAATAAAATCTTCTTTTAATTTATACAATAGTTACTTAAATGATTAGGACTATCAAAAGTTAACCCAAATAAAACTTCGTATACCTCAGTGCATAATACAGCAACTACAAAAAGATTTGTGAGTACTTTTTTTTTTAAATTAATTTTCTATATTCTACGTTTTGTTTGTAGTTTAATTATGTGTCAGTTTCTAAATAATAATTTTGGCTTTTTTTTTAATTTACTTATTATTACTCCATCATATTAGATGTAGTAATATAAAACTACTGAAATAAACTTTTTCGGAAATATTCCTGAGAATATCCTCAAAAGACAAGAATATTTTTTAAAAATATTTTGATTATGTTTCACACTATTAAAAAATGGTCCTAAATTGACCAATGAGTATAAAATTGTTCATCTCCAGATTTATCTATTTAACTAGTAATAATTTTATTTAAGTTGGAGTCAAATTTTTTTTTGGTGGCCGAACCGAACTCATTTTATGATTATTATGTAGAATTTTTTTAGTTGCATTTACACTAAAGAAATTTTTGAAAGGGTCATTATTTTAGTCTTAAACAACTAATATATTTTTTTAAAGAATTAAGATATTTTTGTTATTATACAATAATCAACCAAGTAAAAGTTGATTATTTTTCCAATATAAATTTTCAATAAATATTCATTACGTTAACAAATTTTCAAGTTTCATTATATTGTATTCTTAAAAATATAATATAGCTCAAATGTTTTTTTAAGAATACATTCTCTCGTAATAATATGCATTAGACTATTCTCAAGAATATTCACGTTACTGAGTATATTTTCTCAAGAATATTTTTTGTTCTTTATTATAATTATTGTCTCTAATTAGATGTTTACCATAAAATATTTTATATAATTTTAATATAAATATTAACAACTATTAAACAATCATTATTATAATTGTGTTAAAGCTCTTATAGATTAGTGAATTATAATACTTTTGGATGTGTTCAAGTTTTCATTTTTTATTTGATGATTTAAACACTTTTCAGAGTTCATTTTCAAATTGTTGTTTTTAATTTTATTACAGAATCGTTGATACTTAAATGATTCGTTTAAATGGTTAAATGAATAATTATTAAAAAACTTAATGGTGTACTTCAATCTGAAATCTCAAAGAAAAATGAAAAGTTACATACAAACATATAATAAAAATTAATCACTTTTGGCTAATATTTTTTAGTTTTAAAATAATATTTTTAATATAATTTTAATTTTTAGTAGTATGAATACTTCTCAGATAATTTAATAAATATTTTATTAAAAGCTTATAATAATTTTTAAAGTGATTTATTACTAGTGAATTGATCTATTGCAAAATAACATAAGTCACTACTATTGATAACATAAGATGATGGTGTATTTAAATTAACTTAAGATAGTCAAGTACACAATATAGTTATCAAACATAATATGTAAATACATTAAAAGTTTATTTAAGAATATATGAAGAAATAAAGAATTTCATTATCTTTATTTTATATTAAAAAAAAATTCTGAAGCAAATAACTTACTAATTTAATATACATAAAATGCTGTAGTATGCACATTTCATTTACAAACTATTTGAAATGTTTGTTTTTATACATAATATCTAATTAGCCCTTAAAAAACGTTGAACAGTTTTATTTTATAATAATCATAATATGCAAAAGAAATTGTTTACATTTCTTTGAAAGAAGTTCAGTCCTATACTTTATTTTAAATTTATTTGTCATAATAGTTCAAATATCACTTAAAAAAAAAAACAAAATTAATAAATATTTTGGATATTATAAATCCAAATCAAAATAAAAACAATTGATGAGATATGGTATTTACTTTTAGAAATCATGGACTTCTCAGCTGGATCGTTAGAAAACAACGGAACGTACTTTGCTTGTGAATCAAACCAAGTACCGGGTCGAAGAACTCCATTGAGTGCAGTAGGTTTGGGAGGGTATTTTTTTCCACAACCACCATCATCCGTTGCTTCGGATGAAAATAGCCCTAGTCCAGCCTGTCAACAATTCAACCACAGTTCTAACAATGATAATAGGTATCAATCCTAAAAATATTTTTTCACTGTTTACAAGCAATTGGATACTGAAAAATAATAATTTGTTTTATTTTATTTAATTAGAATTTCCAATCACGGCCAGAGCAGTTCAACGATGACTGTTACCTCTGGCAAGTCAAAATCTAAACAAGGAAAATCTGTTCGGTTAAATATCAATGCTCGAGAGCGAAGAAGAATGCATGATTTAAACGACGCGTTAGATGAGCTTAGAAGTGTGATACCTTACGCTCATTCGCCATCTGTGCGTAAGCTATCCAAGATTGCTACATTGCTACTGGCGAAAAACTATATTTTAATGCAGGCGAATGCCTTGGAGGAACTTAGAAGACTGATCACATATATACAAGTAATTATTTTCTAAATCTTAATTATTGCGCTTTATATAGTACCTGACAACAAATATGTTTATTATAAAAAATAGGCTCAAGGTACCATGACGATGCCACCGGGTTTTGACCTACAAGCTTCGATGTACCCTATCAAACCTTCGTTGCAATCACCTAACGCGTCGCCTGAATCACCTGCTCAGTCTTAATTAGTTCAACCAAAAACAATAAGATCAATCAATGTTGAAGTGTGTTTTTTCTTTCTCAAAGAACATCTATCGAATAGTCGATGACCTTAAATAATTGTTTTTAACCAAACACCAAAGAAAAATGGACAACAAATATTGCACAAGAAAAAATGATTACCTTATAAAATAGTTGAGTTAAAACAAGAAAGTGATCTTTGGAACGCCATATTCTTCCATAGAAATTAAAATCACTTTTTTTTAACGATTTTTAAATTTTAATGTAAATATTGAGTATTTGAATAATGCTACAACTTTTAATATTTTATATTGATTGTGCTACTTGTAAATTGTTGCAATAGCGTTTTATTTAGTTTATAGGTATTAACAATCTAGTCATATTATAAAACAATGCATTTTCTATAATATTATACAAATATACATATAAGTATATTATTATGAACAGTTTAATTACAATGTAAAATATATTTAAACATTTTATTACATTTTGAAGATAACGTTTCTTTTACAAGAATTGTATATATATAGTCAGTTCAAAAAGTCAATTTATAAACTTAAAAGTAATATAAAAAATGTTCAAAATAAAATACATCATCGGAACAAATTTAATTATGTTACATTAATGTGTAAGCAAGATAGAATATTTTGTTTCGTTTATCTATCCCGACTTCGATAAAATGATTTATAAAAATAACTTTTAATCGTGACTTATTGCTGAGTTAAATTTTACCATAAGAAACCATTTAAACTTGAAAATTAGGCTAGTTGAAATCAGTAAAGATTGAAAACTAGCTGGAATTAAAATCACTATCTAATTTAATTTAAATTTAAATTTATAAAACTGCTAATTATTCTTAAGCATTTTAATATATGTAGAGTCAATTTTTTTTCAAATAAAAAATTGTTTGGAATTAGAATTTTTAGAATTAGGTATCTAAAAAAATGTTTTAATGTAGAAGGATGTAAGTCAATTTTCTCTTTTCCCCACAAAAACTGATAAGATTTTTACGATTAAGAATTTCTTATGCCTGTAAGTTGGCGGCATAAAAAGTCAAAAAGTTCTATGCTCGGTTTTTCCAAAAATGACTTTTTTAGCTATCATTTTAAATTATTCAATCCTTTAAAATATTCTATAAAATATAATTAATTGGAGTAATTATTTAATAAGATATTAAGAACCAAATGACTCTATAAATATAGGAAAAATTAAAGAGCAGTTGTTTTTAATAAAAACCAAAATGTTTCATATTCTAACGTATTGAGAGTGGTCTAATAATAATAATGCAATAATAACACTGCTGTGAATTATGATCAGCTTTTATTGTATTATTATCATACTGTTTTATAATTTTTGTTAAGAGTTTTAAGTCCACGTGATTAAATTTTTTTTTAATATGTTTAAAGAAATTAGTTTAAATAAATTAAAATAAAAGAGTAATTACATTTATATATATATTTAATTATATAATTTTAATAATCAAATGACTTTATATTTTATTTCAATATAGCTGTAAATTGTACAGCTTATAGATTGTACTCTGCACAATTAATTGTGCTATTAATTATATAGATATAATTAGCTAAATTTTTAATAATTCAGTTAATTTTACAAGCATATCTAAAGTACCTTAATCATAATTTTTGATCAATTCTTTTTAGTATAATTAATATTGTGAAGACCTTCCTTTTTTTTTTAGCTTCGATACGAAGCTGAGAAGGTATTAATTTTACCATGATGTGTTTATTTTTTTTTTATTTTTTTTTTTGTGTCTGTCACTACTTTTTCTCAGCTCTCACTGGACCGATTTCTTTTAACAATACGTCAAAAGATCACAAATTGTATCTAGTTGAAGACATTACCCTTAAAAATTTAAAAATTTTCCCTCGTTCCCCGCAAATGGGGGAAATATCCAAAAAAATTACAAATTTAAAAATTGACAAATTTTGTCATTTTTGTACCATGATAATACCATAAAAATTCAATGATTCGAAAATTAATAAGAATAATTTTAAAATAGTGTATATAATAATGTAAATAGTACTTTTTTTTTTTATTTTTATTTTATTTTTTTTTTATTCAGAATATTTACAATCTATACAACAAAATGGTACAATAAGTAAATTTGGTTTAAATTGATAATTAAAATGACATGAACTATTATGATTGGGAAATGACTCGTTAGTCACACCTCTAGCATGCTGTTTAAGTTAGTCTTTAGTTATTTAGTAGATCTCTATTCCATTGTCGTTTTAGTCTGATAAATAGTACTTACATAATTTTTGTGTTTATCTAACAATTGTACTAAAAAAAAGGTTATATACTCTTCAAACTTATTTAGAAAGAACAAAATTCGAAATAAAGTTCATTTACTACAGAACACCTAATATATAATAATAATAACTTTTTATAGAACATAGAAAATTCTATATAAGATGATTAAGTGTCAGCTTAATATTTTTTAATGGTAACATTAGCTAGTGTATAAAATAAAAAACAAATCAAGAAAATTAAACAACTTTTAACCTATTATTTAAAAAGCTATTACTATTTTTAAATATAGAATAGAGATGAGGTGATGATATGACAATATTTATTGGGCATAAAGAATAAATTAACAAAA